GGGGGGGGGGGGGGGGGGGGGGGGGGGGGGGGGGGGGGGGGGGTACGGATGGTATGGCTGTACTGCTGAAGCACAAAAACGAAGAAAGCGACAGGTAGGAACAAACAGCGTATGTCGTACATTTATAAGGTCGTGTCGTACCAGTGACTGGTTTGCTGTATGCAACGTTGAGACAACAGCAGCGGACTCCCAGAGGTTCCCAAGAACACACTCACGTGCAGAAAGGCATCGAGTAGTAGTCCAGCGGGAGCTGCGTCTGGATGCTGGTGAGCTTGTTCACTTTAACCTCCACGTTCTGGCAAAACTCGAAAGTCACAGGAGCTACCCCGGGAAGGTAAAATCCCTCCACACCGCTCCCCACCAGCGCCCCCGCCGCCGCCAACGCGAGCGCCGCCCCCCATCGCAGCTCCATAGCTCCCTCCTGTGTCTATCTCCGCCCGATAGGTGAAGGTTCAAGGGCGGGTTGTGCAGCAGGGAGGTTCCTTTGAGGGCATGCATTTGCGGGCAAACGTTTTGTTCGGTGTGACGGAAAAGACGCTCTAGATTACTTCTTCAGAGGTTGCCGTCGAGCTTCGGCCTGCTCCGCTTTCTGGTGTGTGTGGTTAAAAAAAAAGGATCGCGCGCCGAGAAATCATCGTCGAGAAGCATTGGGCAACGCAAGCACAACAAACAGACAAAGGCAACTTCCCGTGTTGGCAACCTTGCGCGTCATCAAGCTACGCTGGGCTCCCGTCCAAGGACAGCGCTAGCTAACCAAGGCCCAAGGCCTGCCAGCACACACCAGTTGTACACGGATCATCACTGAATGTTCTTTGCGCGGCTTGCAAGACATGGATGAGCCGGCAGGGGCGTCGGTGCAGGCCCATCTGCAACACGTCTCACCCTTGGTATCTGGACAGTAGGCTGTTGCCGATGGTTGGCGTTGCTTCAACGCCGCACCGCCGCAGCTTTTGTCCGCTTTCACGCGTTCCTCGCTCTTGTTCTGTGTGCCAAAGTTAGCGCACGCCCATCGCCATTTGTGAGCAGGCGTTCCTTTCAAGGGGGTGGAGAGAAATTGTGAGAAAAAAAAATAAGCGCACGAGAGGGATTAGACTGCAGGACCGCGAGAGAGAGGAAACACATCACACAAATACCACCACCAGCTAGCAGGATGAAGGTGGTTTCTATCTGCACGATGCGGTACAACCGCGACACAGCGGAGCCTGTGATGTTGTCACAGGTCAACGAGCTGTCATCCTACGGCTTCTTTCAGCGCCAGGGGTGAGAGATGTATCTCCTTTGGAAATAGCGCCGACGGAAGACCAGCTGCAGTGTACGATACCATGGTATAGACAGCAAGATGCTTGTCTCGTGCCGCCGTGGATGCCTGACTTCTCCAAAGCGTGCGGCGGCAGTGACAGGAGCTGGTCTAGAGTTGCAGAAGGCAGCAGTCGTGATAAAGTTGAGCAATCTCGGAGTCTCTGCATATTGAACAACTAGCATAGCAGACAATCGGAGTACTGTAAAATTCTTCCTCTGTGTAGCCAGTCGACGAGCAATTGGCGTTCTATAATGTGAAGACAACACCAACAACAACCTCCAGAGTTCGACCTCTGCCTATCAAGTCACCGCTCGTTGTGCCTCACCTGCCCGACCTCTGCCTACCCTCAGAGAAGCTGCGCCGCCCGATCGTACATGCGGGTTGTCTGTGTGTACAATTATTGCACATAGGTTTTGTGCGTGAAGAGCGTAAGGATACACCAGCAGAGAAGTCTCCGGAAACGCTCCGTGCTGCTGTCGAGTACTAAAGCTCGTGTCCGTACGCGTATGCCATGTGGAGAAGCACGTTGTGTAGTCCCACGAAGCAGCACCTGTTGTTGGTACCCTAGTGAATTGTTGCGGTCTTCGTTGTGTCCTCCAATCAAGCATCTTCTCGTCCCTGGTAGTACTTTAGTTAGACTACTCTTCACCTTGAGGGAAGAAACGACTTGTAGTTGACAACAGCAGTGGACTTCCAGATATTGTACAACGTATAGTCTACGTTGTCTCGATTTACCCAACACCAGGCACATCCCAGACGACGACCAAAGAGTGGACCATGGCAATTCTGAAGTTATACTAACGTAGGCGTGGTCCACCATCCCGCATGTAGCCCCGGAACACTGAAAAACAAGGGTTTTGCTCAAGCAGTCATTCGTTGGCAGGTAGATATGTTCTTGCATGCGTTCAGAAACATTTACTTTTGTACTCGTGGATACCTTCTCGGCATCTTAGATAACATCTCGCGAGTGCAAGAACCAAACGCCGGTCGCCTTCTGCCTCACGCACCTGCTTGCTATTGCTACGGGGCGTCGCAGAATTAAGGAGATGTGCACTTTCTTCAGCAAGACCATCGTTAAGCGCACGCAACCGGGGCAGCGCCAGAGCGTACAGCACGAAGGTGGGATGAACTGCCACCACCGCGCGCTTGTGACATCGAGCTGTACAACTGCTGTTAGGGCATGAGGGTTGTTTCTGCGGCATGTCTTGTAAGCTTGTGGGCTTCGGTCCTAAAGTTCACACCCTATAGGATATCCGCTGAACATTGGATAGGTGAATCGCCCTAAATACGTAGTTACTTATGAACTGCCATGTTAGAATATCCACCTGTGTACTAGTAGATTATTCTCCAAAGTGTATCACACACGAAGCGGCGGGTTAGTTGTGTTTGTCGCGCCTGTTGTGTACAAGCGCGCAAAGATCAAGTCCCTTGCGGTGCTGGAAGAACAATCGTGCCTGCCGAATGGGAAACGTTTGGGTAGTCGGGATGCCCAATCGACCGATGGCATATCTGGTTTGGCACAGCAAACGCAACGACGGTGACCAGCTTCTGGTTCGCCCTCGTGAAAGGTAGCCTGAGCCGGCGAAAACCCGGCATAATATTCCGTCCCGACGTTGCAGGGATGCGAGGTCAATGGTCCACCATGCGTTTACATAAAGGTACACCCCCTCCCCCGGGTGCTTCGCACATGTCGCCGTCACGCAATAGCCGAAGAATCCGATAGACAGGATATGCAGATGTAGGGTGGCAAATTGCGCCAAACGAACCCGATCTTTTTGCCAGCGACTGACGCACTCCAGGCATCGCAGCGGCAAACAGGCAGCGAATGACCCCCCCCCCCCCGGTTCCGGGATTGGGTTTTTGTCGCTTGGCAACGACGTTGTAAAACAAGCCAATCCACTTCGTGAGCTCGGCAACCAGGTTACCGTTTCTTTTTTTTTGGCGGTAACCATGATGGTGGTCGAGCAGATCATGTTATGCGGGGTGGAGACGCCTCACTCCGCGCAAGGGGGATGATCGCACCACGTCGTGTTGAAATGGTCAAGCACCCTCGAGGCAGTTACACCTTGCTTACAACTGTCTCAGGAAGTGAAAGCACCAGAAAATAAATGAAGTCATACGCAGCTGTCATCCGTACGCAAGGAAGTAAGNCGTCCCCCCCGGTTCCCCCCCCACGATGATGTGACACCGGCATAACACTACCATCGGCGATCTACTGCCACTGCTCGCGTAGACTACAACGTGCACGTGTACATGCGGCAAGACGGATTGGCGGGGACGGTAACGGCAGATCTCGAGTACCCACCACGAGTCGCGTTCGTGCTGCTCACGCAGGTGAGCGGAGTTGGTGTATGTGTGTGTGTTTTCTTAATTTACATCGGCCGCGCTAGCCGACTGATCAATGAAAAGACGTCAGTGTTGTAGCGGGATAACACACAAGAACGTTTTCTAATCAAAGAGTACGGGTTATACCGACAGTTGTGTGTGTGTGTGTTTTATTTTGCTGTGTACCGCCGTGTGTAGGTAATGCCTTCCCAGGCCAGCAAACATTGTTAGCGATGAAAAGGCTTGACTGGGGGGCACGAGTTCGAGTTTTGGGACGACTGAACAAGATACAATGCGTGAGTGAGTTGTCTGCTTGTGTGAGTATGAAGATTGATTACGCTCGGTTTTACTCGACAGCTCCACCCGAAGGCCTTCCCTTGGAAGTCGTAGCGGTGGCAGCAAGAGCCCAACGTCTAGGTTCCTCTGTGACACGCATTGGTTCTCCGGACACGTCATCAAATGAGCCGCGCCCCGTTCTCCCTCTCGCGTGGGTGCTCTTGACACCCCCACTATGTTGATATTATATTTTCTCCTCAGCTGTTGGAGCAGTACTCGGAGCAGGTCTCGTGGCAGTCCGAGATCAGACACGAGGCCATTCGATTCCCTCCGATGGAGAAAATGATTGTGGACTACCAGGTAGGAAGAGCAATGTGATTGACACCACAGACGATGAACGGCAATTGGCCTTGTATCTGGGCTTCTGTATCTAGTTCTTTGACTTCGCCCGTACCCTTGCGGGCGCACGGGAAAAAAACGCCGTACTACCAGCGGACCGTGGCCTGCTCTTGTGCGGCCGTTCAGTACAGTAACCCCACCCCGCACGCTCTCGTCCCTGGTGACGATTAACAGCAGTACGGTAGTAGTGAGTTCACGATCTTGCTTATTCCCGACGCGGTGCCTTCGGCGCTAATATGCTGTATATGGGAACGGTGTGTCGGGGTCGCTTTCGTTGAGATATGTTTGTTCAGTGGCCCTTGACATGGTTAATGTTCTGTTTCCACTCGTGAGCTGTCAAGACAACCGCACTGATTGGGGGGGGGGGCGATTTGTTCTGAGATGATGTGGTTCTGTCCGTCCGCTGATGTTTTTGTTCAAACATGCTAACAGGACCCGGCGAAGGCGGACAAGATCACCAAGATTCAGCGCGATTTGGACGAGACGACCGAAGTGCTGGTGAGAAGACGAGCTTGCCTTCATGGCCACTACATACTATCTCTTCTACCCCCCACAATATCGTTCGTCGTGTCTAGGGTCAACACTGCGTGCTGGCGGCGCAAGACCGTTTTGTGTCACAGAACATCTGCTTCGATTGGAAGCGTGTATTGCATTGTGGTCATAACTCCCGGTTCGAGCCACAGAGGGGTAAATGAGATGGTTCGCACGGATTTCGGTCTCCACTGATCAAAGAGCGTGGCCGGACCGCACAGTTTCCCTGGTCGACACGGAACTTGCCAGTAGCTTTGTTCACTCCTGGTGGAACGTGAAAATGGAATTGAAAGTGAGTAGACCCATGACGAAGACGCCCCCCGTAACTGACGTTCACGCTCGCGTTCGTGGTCGCCGTAACAATCTTGCCGGCTGTGAACGGCAGCACCGAACCATCGACAACGTGTTGGAGAGAGGGGTAAGGCTGGATGAGCTCGTGGACCGATCCGACGACTTGAGCCGACAATCCAAGATGTTCTACAAGCAAGCGAGGAAAACGAACAGCTGCTGCGTGGTGAGCTGATTGGGAAGGGCATTGAGCGGGTGGCGGGGAAGGAGCTCCTCCGCGCGAAGCCTTGAAGCCTTGGACAAGTCGTCGCAACGAGAAAGAAAGGGTGGCCACGATCGTTTGTCTTTTTTTGTCTTTATTTTTTTTCGTGGCAGTCCCGTCCTGGAGCCTGGGTGTGCACTTTTATCGGGTTCAGCGATTGTACATTGGTAAAAGACGTTCAAGTTGAGCTCGCGGGGTTACATTGGGTCTGCTTTTTTGTGTTTGTTTCCCCCAAAGGTATCTAGCGCCCTCGCCGCCACCACGGCGGCCGCCGCCGGGCTACCGCCATACTTGTTGTTGTGCTGAACTTGTGAGCGTTTTTTTTTCGACTTTGTGGCCTGGAGTCGGTGTTCCGTAGCTGCGTGAAGGGTTGGGGGTTGTTTTGGCCTCTTGTCTTGCCTTCCAGCACAAGAAGAGAAGTCAGCTTGAACGTTGGTGTGTGTATAGTACTCAACCCGGTGTGTCGGAAGCGCTTTTTGTATTTGAAAAATAGTATGGCGCTTCGTTTGTCAGAGACCCGTCCGCACTCTTCGTGAAGCGGTGCGCGAGCTGTGCGGTAGGTCCCGTTGTAGTCCGCGAGAAAGGTCTTCACCGCGGTGCCCTTGTAGGATAACAAAACTAGACCTAGCAGGCAACCCGCGGCTTATCGGAGCCCAGACGGTGAGTAGGGACGCCTCTTTTGCCAAGGCTGTTTGTTTTGGCCATACTGCTGCAATGTTGAGGTTTAGGGTATATAATTAGGAAATGAGTGCAGCGATCGCACGGGGGGGTGATGACCCCTTGTCTTTCTGTACGATAACAACCTCTGCAAATCCTGGGTCAGGACAAGGGCATTGTTCCAGGAGACTCATGTCCGCCGGGGATGAAACCTTCCAAAAGGGAAGCCTCAGGAGTTGCTCCGAAACCACCCCTGTTGGACACCCTCAGAAAAGGCGTAGAAATGGAGTTGAACTCACACCCAAACACGACCTACGAATGGCGTGACAAGGTACCTCTACAGCACGTTTGTTCAAGTCCCCGAGCGGTGAATTTTGATGTATTCCGACGACCATGGCACCGAAGGGACACAATCGACATACCAGTGGGAAGTGTTTTGGGGTTTGAAAGGGCACGGAGCGCGGCCTGCGGTGTGCCTGGGCCTTTTCACTACGGAACACCCTTTTCTCTCGCCTCTCGAGACGGATCGCCTTTTCCGTCCCTAGGTAACAGGTTCCTCCAGTACATTAAGGCAGTGTTGTGTTCCCCCCGCTGTTTGCACAAAATGTCTTCCCAGTGCTATTCCCTGCATGAACCACCACCTGTCGTAGGCACCCACGCCCGTCTTTCCCTCCCATCTCCTCACGTTAGACTTCACTTTCACGAACCTCATGAGCTCTGCTTGGCTCTGCTTACACACACGGCGGATAATTGATCCGTTGGTTGGAGCGTGAGCTACTTGACTGCTGCAATCCTCCTTGGGGCAGAGGGGGCTTTCCGCTTGTTTCGATAAATACTACCTCCAGTTCCCGGGAACAAAACGTTCCTAGGTACGGTCGGGGTCCCTCTACAGCAGTGGGGGTATGTGCCAAGCGAAATGACCCGCACTAGTAGGGCAGTTTGGACAAAAAGCGGTCTAACTCGGGGCCTGCAACCTGCAGCCTGCAGCCTGCAGCTGCAGAACTCTTTTCCCGAACCGTTTTTTTTGTTGGTTCCACCGCTTCTCCCTTCTTCCCCTCGCTCCTCGACAAGCATTTGCTTAGACATGGGTTGTAGTGAAGGGGGGGGTCTTTCTGGCGAGCAGGGCTAGACTCACCCTCAAGGGATAACCGAAACCTTCTTGCTGCTGCGCATATCCGCCGCGAGGCATGCGCGTGGTGGTGTAGTTGGGTCGGCACTGATGGGGTCAGGCGAAAAAATGTAGATGCGCGGGCCTCTGGCCGTCGGCGTAGGCAGCGATGCCCATCTCATTTTTT